AAACCTAAAAAATGGTCTTGCCACGTGATTCCAACTCTTGACCTCCTGATTAAGTGCAATTGTACTAACCAAGTCAGACAACTGACCTGACATACCTAATTTACTTATTTTTTTTCTTCTTCAAATTAATGCTAAAAACACACACAACTTTCTTGTTTGGTTTTTCTTTTGTATTCTTGGTTATTGTTTCGAGCGGATTTTTTTGTTATTTTCCTTTTCTCTTCCTTTTTTTTTTCATTTCACTTTTCCTTTTCAAAAATTCATGAACTTTATTTTACAATCGTGAATTTTCTTAAATTCATCAACCTTTCGAAGTCATGAACATTTTCTAAAATTTCTGAACTTTTTTTAAATACATGAATTTTTTAATGCATGAACTTTGTTTCAAAAGCATGAAAGTTTTTCAAATCCACAATCTCTTATCAACTTTTACGAACTTTTTATCGAAGCACGTGATTTTTTTTCAAATTCCTGAAGTTATTTCCAAATCTGATTAAAACATCGAATTCAGGAACTTTATTTTCAAAATCGTTAAACTTTTTATAGTGATTTTTTAATCTGCAGAATGTATCAAATTTGAGAATATTTTTTCAAAATCACTGAACTTTTTCAAACCCCGAATGCTTGGGTCAGCCCATCAGGTGCCTAGCGGGAGCGATGCCGTTGCCTATCTGGGCCAAGACTTAACCTTTTCTTAGTTTTTTCCCTTTTCTTTTATTATTTTGTTAATTATTTTTCTCCTTTTTGAAATTTATTAATTTTTGAAATCGATTTGAAAAATTGAAATATTGTCTGAAATACCCAAAAACTTTCTTGCTTTCAAATATTGTTTAATTTTTTTGAAAGTATTCAAGAATTTTCAAAAAATATTCCCCTTTTTTGAATCGTTTGTTCACAAATTTAAGAAATGTATGCTTTTCAAACAAAGTTGGTAATGTTTTTTAAAGTATATGTTTTACTATTTTGTCCAGAATTTTCAGCTATTGTTAGGATTTTTTTAACAATTTTGGAAAAAGTGTTCGAGTTTTTAAAACTTTTGTTGATAATTTTAAATTTAAAAATTGTTGAAAAAAATCAGTAAATGGTTTAGGACATAAGAAAATGTTCAGGTTGATTTATAATGAAGGAAATTGCAAATAACATAATTATTCAAATTAGGAAAAACTACATGCTCACGGACGGACCCTCCTAGTGGGAAAGTATCTAGTGCTGCCGGTGCTCCAAATGTCCGAAAAACATTTCTAAAATGTTCAAAAAATTCTGAAAAAATGCAGCACATTGATGTCTCTTGTCACAAAATTTCAAATCAAAATTCGAAACATTGCTTGAGATACAAAAATGACAAATGTTTGTACATAACATAAGTTGGGCTTTAGTTTTGGCCCATTATCACATTGATGTCAAATTTGTCATTTTTGTATCTCGAGCAATGTTTCGAATTCTGATTTGAATTTTTTTGACAAGAGACATCGATGTTCCGTCGATGTGCTGCATTTTTTTCAGAATTTTTTGAACATTTTAAAAAATGTTTTTCGCATCGGAGCACTGGGAGCACCCTAGGCCTGGGAGCACTAGATACTTGCCCCCCTTCTAGCCTACCCAAACACCCTTCATTGAACATGGTCTACTTTTGGACATGCATGAAAAAATCCAACTTTTTTAAGCAAGTTGACATTCCCATGGAGGCATCTATGCCAAATTTGAACGAATTCTGACACCGTATGCAAGTTGTATCACGTCCGACCATTTATTGGGCTTTTTTCAGCGAGAAAACTTTAGAAAATGCAAACTTGTCGAGAACTCAAACAACTTAGCATGGTGCCTTGAATTGGTGATACACGACTATGAAAAGAATTCGGGGCCAATTCAATGATCTCGAGAAACAATGCGCTCTCAAACGGAGCCTCCTGGCCTACCCGGACATCCTTAGTTGAACATGGTCTAGTTTTGGAAAAATTTCAAATGATCCCAAATTTTGCCAGTAGGTGGGCATGCCCATGGTTGTCATCCATGACAGGTTTAAACGAATTCTGACACTGTATGCAGGTTCCGTCATGTCTAGCTATTTATCGACCATTTTTTACCTAGAAAACTCCAGAAAATGTAAGATTTCTCGAAAACTAAAACAACTTGACATGGTGACTTTAATTGGTCATATAAGCTCATGAAAAAGGGGCCATTTGACAGATGCCAAAAGAAACCCACTCCCAAACGGGCCCTCCTAGCATATCCGAACCCCCTCCGTCGAACATGTTTATTTTCGGACGTGCATGAAATAACCCTAACTTTTTCTCTCAGGTGGGCATGGCCATGGTAGGCATACATGCCATGATGGATTGAACGAATCCTGACACCATATGCAAGTTGCGTCACATTAGACAATTTATCGGGGTTTTTTCACCGAGAAAACTCTAGAAAATGCAAAACTTGTCGAAAACACAAACCACTTGGCATGACGACTTGAATTGGTGATATATGACTATAAAAAATTGAGGTCAATTCAAGGATGCCGAGAAATAACATGCTCTCAAACAGAGCCTTTTGGACTACCTGAACACCCTCTGTTGAACATGGTCTAGTTTTGGACATTCTTAAAATGACCCCAACTTTTGCTACCATGTGGGCATGCTCACGATATGCATACACGCAAGGTTTGAATGATCTCCGACACTATATGCAAGTTGCGACACATATAGTCATTTGTCTGCCTTTTCTGATTGAGAAAACTGTACAAATGCAAAATTTGCCGAAAACCAAAACAACTTAGCATGGTGCTGTTGGAAATATGCCCTAGAGGCAATAATAAAAGTGTTATTATTATATTTCTTTGTTCATGATAATAGTCTTTTATTCATGCTATAACTGTATTATCCGGAAATCATAATACACGTGTGAATACATAGACCACAATATGTCCCTAGTGAGCCTCTAGTTGACTAGCTCGTTGTGATCAATAGATAGTCATGGTTTCCTGGCTATGGACATTGGATGTCATTGATAACGGGATCACATCATTAGGAGAATGATGTGATGGACAAGACCCAATCCTAAGCCTAGCACAAAGATCGTAGTTCGTATGCTAAAGCTTTTCTAATGTCAAGTATCATTTCCTTAGACCATGAGATTGTGCAACTCCCGGATACCGTAGGAATGCTTTGGGTGTACCAAACGTCACAACGTAACTGGGTGGCTATAAAGGTGCATTACAGGTATCTCCGAAAGTGTCTGTTGGGTTGGCACGAATCGAGACTGGGATTTGTCACTCCGTGTAAACAGAGAGGTATCTCTGGGCCCACTCGGTAGGACATCATCATAATGTGCACAATGTGACCAAGGGGTTGATCACGGGATGATGTGTTACGGAACGAGTAAAGAGACTTGCCGGTAACGAGATTGAACAAGGTATCGGTATATCGACGATCGAATCTCGGGCAAGTACAATACCGCTAGACAAAGGGAATTGTATACGGGATCGATTGAGTCCTTGACATCGTGGTTCATCCGATGAGATCATCGTGGAACATGTGGGAGCCAACATGGGTATCCAGATCCCGCTGTTGGTTATTGACCGGAGAACGTCTCGGTCATGTCTGCATGTCTCCCGAACCCGTAGGGTCTACACACTTAAGGTTCGATGACGCTAGGGTTATAAAGGAAGTTTGTATGTGGTTACCGAATGTTGTTTGGAGTCCCGGATGAGATCCCGAATGTCACGAGGAGTTCCGGAATGGTCCGGAGGTAAA